CTCAACGTGTCTCGAAGTGCCGGATCCGATCTCCTTATTTCCTCTGTGAAACGTGATACATCGAGTACCATTTCGCAAATCGATCAGCAATAAACGAGTGTCCCAGTAATGTCTCGAAGCGGACTGTTTCGGGCTCCCTTCACTGCGTCGCTCAGACCGAGGCACGCAAGGAGGGGAGCTGGGACATGGTTAACCAGACCCTATTCTCTTATCCACTGAAACTTTGAGCTCGACAACAATTCAAGCCATAGAATGCCTGTATCGACACTAGAGGGATCTCTAAGTCCCGAGTAACATTTCCGAGTTTCAGACCTCCTTCTCTCGGAAGTTTGAGCTGCGATGCAGCGAGAGAAGGTCTTCGAGTGCGAAGTGAACCAAGAGGATATATGCGAGGAATCTCCCTGCGGCAAAGCCAACTTCCGTTCCGATTAAATAATCGTGTCTCTGTGAGGTATTCCCCGTCAATGAGTCGAGAATGTCTCACATGCATATGAATTTGATGCTCTCAAACCAGTGAGTTCGATGCTGCGACAATCGTCGAGCGCGAAACGGGGGAGGGACATACAGCGAAGATGCCCTCGTCCGGAGAGGTCTACCTAAGGTACTGCTTCACCCTTTGAGCCATGGTCAGAACTCCGGGAGTTTTTTCTTGAGCACGACGGATCCGAAAGAATGCCCCCCATATAGGAACCCTGAGGAGCGCATTTCGCACCCTCTCTGAACTCTTTCTCCGGCAACCGAGATACTCCGTGCGCTTTTCAAAGGGGGGCAATCCCTACCGGAAGAGTTGGAGAGATCTCCGGGTTGCCTTGAGCACGGGTCCGAACTCCGATCGAGCCTCTTAATCGGTGCCTCACAATGACCATGGAGGAGATGGAGGTTGGACTGTTTGTGATCACGAAGCAGACCGCCGAGTTCTTCGAGGATATCTCCGTGGATGAGTTTGTGGTGTTCGGATGCGAACATTGCGGTTTCAGACACCGAAAGCTGGCGATGGTTGCTTTCCATCGTCAGCAAACGCATTCTGGATCGCGAAGGCGGCGTGGACGTGACGAGTTCCGCAGCGTCCCGAAAAGACAGTTCTCCCAGCCGGAATCTAATCCACGCAGGATAGCGGATCGTGAGGAGTCGATGGAGGTAGAATAGTTTCATCGACCAGAGGCCTCTCCCACCAAGCTCGAATTCGAACGCGATGTCTGATTCTCAGGGAGATGTATCATAGTAATATATTGAGCGCTTGTGGAATAAAATAATTTTCAATCATTCCTTTGCCTTTAATGAGTAGACTCCATTCGGGTTGCACTCTCCGCGATCAGGCGAAAATCGAGAAAATAAGGTCGCAGAAAGCTCTTCCTCCTCGTGAAGGATTCCAGTCGGACGCGAGGATGCAGTGCTGTCAAGGCTGAACGGCCGGTCTCCCTCAGCTCGTGCTCGCTGGCCTCAATGATCGGTACTTTCCTGGATTATTCTCCCGAAAATCGGAGGCGGAATCTCCCGTCGCGCATCACTCCCATCAGGGACCCTGGGAGAATTTCAACCGGGGGGAAGGGGAGCGGGGCACCTCATCATGATTAATGATGAAGCTAAACGGAGCACGACCGATAATAAGCATTACTTCCCGTCAAATGAGCCGGCGTACACTCGAGGCTGCAGAAGTTTCTCTCCAAAACAAAAAATCTAGGAACGAGCTGTTTAATCTTCATAGCCACATTCCGGCCTTACTCGGATAGTGAATCCATCCCTTAAATGAATTGATACAGGTACGGAATGTAGAGAGAAAGCCTTGCCAACTCTCCTGGACTGATGAGACGCGATTGATTCCTGCTGTATCTCCGGCGTTTTAGAAGAAGGCAGCAGACGAGGGGTTCGTCAGCGCGCGAACCTGCGTGCTCCTTCGGTGCGATATCTTCAAGCGCATCACAATCGGCGCGAGGAGCTCCCAGAATTTAATTGAGGCTCCGTGGCTTTCGGCCCTCGGCGTCACAAAGAGCGGCTCCAAACCTTCGGCGGTCGCCCAGAGCAGTCGAAGTTCGAATTCATCCTTTAGGAAAGCTATGCGGGACGTCGGGTTCGAGATGGAAGCGCAAATTCTCGCGAGTGTTCCGGATCGAAACCCACTGTGTTTCGGATGGAGATACTCAGGGGGCCATGGCGAGGTTCAGACAATGATACGCGCAACGAACATAGATCGCTTGAATGACCGAGGACTTGATTCGACACCGAGCTCACTTTTGATCTCCGCTCACGGTGTTCCAGCCATCGTATCCGTGTCCTTTCATCTTCCTCATATCGATGCCCTTGGCTGTGAGGGGATCGAGCGCTACTCGGACCAGTCTGGCTTCCGATCTGTGAGATACCTCGCAGTACATAAGGACTCAAAAATAGAAAACTTTCAAGTTCTTATTCGATTGAACGTATCGAAGGCAAATTGTCATCTGAATAGATCTACCAGCATCTCGAGTCCCATCTGCAAAGACTGTCGCAGCTATCTGTGACGAAATTTTGTGCTACAAGATTATGCCGGTGATTATTTTCCATAGTCTTATTCTAGTTCATCAGATAAATGCAGGTGCAGCACCGGTGCGGTGAGGTGATCGTGCGCTGAAGAATTTGTTCCGCATCTCTGCGGGCGTCACCGACACCTTCGAGGTGAGTCCGTTTAAACAGAGCGATCCCCAAACTGATGGCGGTACATGACGATGGCATCCTATATCTGCATGATGCAGGAGCGCAACTGATGTTTTCGTGCGTTTGAGCTGGAATCGGATCTGGGTGAAGCCGAATGACTGAATGCAACGTGGTTCGTCATTTTGAAACGAACGCGAATCGTGGGATTCGGTAGTAGCGAGAGGAGGTAGTATGGACCTGAGATTTTTCTGGGTATCGGGAGAACACGGGCCTTGAAAGCTCCCCGCTGAAATCGCTGCCAGCCTCCGTGCGCGTTATGACCATCTTGGACGTTCGTGATCACGAGACAATCCGCCGAGTTCGTCGAGAAGATTCCCGCTAATGAGATTGTGGTGTTCGGATACGAACATGGCGATTTCAAGCATCGAAGGCTCGCGAAGATATCTTTCCACACCCGAGAAGTTCATTCAGGCTCACGGCGGCGGCATCGACGCGACGGTTTCTGCAGCGTCCCAAAACGACAGTTTTCCCAGCCGGAATATGATCCAAGCAGGGAACCGGACCGTAAGATTCGATGGAGGTAGAACAATTTTATCGTTCAGAAGCCTGTCCCACTAGGAATCGAGCTCGAATTTGAATGCGTTGTCTGATTCTCAGACAATGTATCATAGTCATGTATTGAGCGGATGTGGAATGAAATATTTTTCGATCATTTTTTTCCGTCAATGAGTGGACTCCATTCAGGGTGCACTGCCGCACGAAAAGGTCGGGAAGGAGGGAAATAAGGGCGCAGAAAGCTCTCCCTCCTCGTCTAGGACCCAAGCGTGACGCAAGCATGCAGTGCTGTGCCGGCTGAGCGATCGGACTCTACTCCTTCGCGCTCGCTGACCGCAAGACTTGGTACTCACTCCTAGATCATTCTCCAAACAGTGGCGCGTGGAATCCTAAGACACGCATGTCCAACCTCAATCGCTCGCATCGGCGGCGTGGGCAGAATTTTTTTTCGTAGGGGGCCACGCAATCATGAGCCATAACGAAGATGAATGTGTAAGGACCGAGAAGCATTGCTCCTCGCTGAATTAGCAAATATACGTATCGAGCCCAGCTGTGAAGAGGAATGAGGAGATCGATGCTGAGACTAGCGAATGTGGGGAAGTATTGCATCCACGATTATTCATTGCCGGTCACTTATACCAAAAAACGTTTGGAAACTGTCCAAAAAGTTACAGATGCGCATGCATGCTCGTCAGACCATGAACCCTTCTGGTGAACGAAAGCGCCCCGGAGCATCTCCCGGAATGCGGTATCGCTCTGAACGGCCCCCATTTTCGCGCCATAGAGTGTCGCGCAGCATCCAAAGCGGGTTAGCTCCGGTTTAGTCTCTCGCACTCGCAGTCCTTAGCGTCCTTATCTCTCCTCTATGCTTGACTCGGAGTCGAAAGATGACGATGGGAATAATACTTACAGCAGCAAGGAGGTTGATGCTACAATGATCACCGAACCGATGTACCGGTCATGGCCATCTTCGACGGCTCGATAGGACTTCTGGCCATCGTTGTACTTCATGGAGCGAGTGTCATGTGGTACGAATCCCTCCGGAAGTCACCGACAACTCGGGGAAAATTCCGTCTCACGAGAGCGGTTCAATCCCCTTTATTGCGGTAGAAGATCATTTCAGTGAGGCGAACCAGTGAGACATCGGTACATGGCGATACCATCCGATTTCCGATCTTTCGGTGCGTTCGAGCTGGAATCTGATGTGGGTCAAGCCAAAAGGCTGATAACCTCGTGGATGTGAAGACTTCATTCCGTGAGAAACGCGATTCTGCAGACTCCGAATCCGTAGCGAGAAGAGGTAGTATGAGCCCGACATTTTCGAGTTTTTCGATTGACTTGAGAATTTTAGCTGGATTTTGAATACGGTGCGCTAAATTTGGCGAGGAAACGTTTTTGGTGTTCTGATGCGAATATTGCGGTCCAGACTCCAGACGCGCGAAGTTGCTGATGGTCGCTTTCGATTTAGATCGTCAAGGAATGAGAGCTTCTTCGCGATGAGTGACCACGCTGTCTAAACCGGAGATATTTTACGCTCTCTTGGAGGTTGTTCGGTTCACCCAATTGCGCAGGATTGCTTATCTCGCTTACGTATCCAACTCCGGAAAAATATCTGTCAGGGAAACCCGTGTACTTATGGTCACATTCGAGTCGAAGCGCGTCCGGTCGGCGAATGCATCAAATCTGAGGGCTTTATAAGCTCCCGTTACATCGCTTGGCTAAGGCGTCATCGTTGAGCCGGACAACACTGCGACATTCCCCGTGAGATCCCACTATCAGATGGTTATATCCTAATTCTAGGCTTAACTCATCAAGCGACTATATAGGCTCTTTCTCGGGTGCTTAACGAAATGTGTCCACGGAGTCGAGGAAAATTGAGTGCTCCCCGTATCTTCTTCGCTGTCTCTGTCGAAACATGAGGCTTTCACTATGCTTAGTTCTTGTGTCCTTCATCTACGCATCGCAAGGTGAGCGAGTCTCCAGCTAAGGAATCTTGGTCGGCATCAGAGGCTCTATTTCACTCAATCTTTTTTCCAACCGAGGGGATAGATAGTAGATCATCGGCGCTCTCTCGGATGCAGGTCAATTGACTCAAAACACCGTGGAAAGTCTAGACAAGGTGATCGACGTGGTCCTCGATCTCGTGAGGGTCGATAGCGGTCTCAACAAGCTGTTCAGCTCCATCAGAGTTCCCTTGAATCTCACCGAAGATGGGATACGTTTCCATGATGTAGGCGACTGTTCTCATCGACGTCTATGAATGTTGGAATCCCGTCAAGTCTATCTTCAACCTCCATCTATATCTTGGGTGTCCGACACTGTATCGATAACGAGGGCATGGCATTTGAGTTAAGTCTGTATTCTCGACTTCCAGTTGACGCTCAGCAACGTTCTAAGCTTATATCGTGGCGGTGAGTCGTTCATCGATCTTCAGTCAGACCAACTGATCACCAACACAACCTTCGAAGCACGAAACCTGACAGTCGATCTCCAGTGGACTGCTAAGAAGTGGTTCGTGACCTTGGTCGGCACTGCGCAGTTGAAATTGGAAGCGATTTCCGTCAATACGGCAATAGGTGTAGAAGGCCTCCGCGTCAGCCTGATAGATGCATGTGTCCCGGAATTCGACTCTATCGAAGTGATTAAGGTCACCGGAACGTCCTCGGTTTTCAATAATATAGTCAGGGATGTGGTCCAAAAAATCGTCAACACGGAGTCGACGAAGAATATGATAAGCGAACAAGTCGTAGACACAATCCGAAAACTATTCAACCAGATTTTCAAATAAAGCGGATCCTAATCATAAGCCCGTGCGGTTACGGACGACAGTTCATTCTGATCTAGACTTCCGGAGAAAGCACTTTCCCTCGCTCCGCTGCTTTCCGCTCCGCTCGTGTATTTTCTTGGAATCGAATGAGGGGATAACGAATCTGACTCGAGCTTGATGATCTGGTGTGCTGGCTAGACGGGGACTTCGAATGAACTTCCTCGCTGGAGAGCGTCGTTTCTCATTCATCACGGGGAAATCTACGGTCATGAAATGCTCCCCTTGGGTTGTCTGATTGTATAGATATCAAAAACATTTAGAGAAAGGACCCGCAGCGCGATGATTCCCTTGAGCTACTTGGTTGGACGCTCCCACCCCAGGGTAGAGGTATGCAGGACTACCATGGACTCGTGCACGACATTCCCAAAGTTCCTGAGTCTCACCGCCAGCTTGGGACACACCAGATATCGGCGAAGTTCCGGGTTCAGAGCTCGACTCTCGGGGACGCTTCTCGCTGAGACGTCTTTTCGCGCGGAACAAAGTCGCAAAGTAGAGAGCGCCCTCCGCAGACATACTCTCAGAAGTATTCCTCTTCCGACCATTCTGCCGCTCAAGAAACCCACTCTCTAGTTTTGCATCGATAAACCGGCAAGGCTTTCAGATCTGACCGACCACCACGAGAGACATCATCAGGGCTCCTAAGTCCGAAAATTCCACAATTACTAAATTGAATCCCTCTCTCAATCCATTGATCTAGCGCTTGACGTAAGAATGTCGCGGGACGATCGCTACAGATCGTGAGCTCTGCCTGATAGAGTGCTCGACGTCGGCCTCGTCGCTTTTGCTCGATTCGGTGGGCGTTCGAGGAGGTTCTAAAGTTTCCCTGACTCAAATGATGCGGTATACGGTGAGCATTCATCAAATACTTCGCCATACTCTTCGGGAGTTTGTCCGGCTCTGGGTTCTGCCAGAAGGGATCGCGGGAGGCACTCCGCGTATGAAATCTTCTTTCTAGAGTCTAGACAGGCCCGGGGATCGACCTTGGCTCTTTTCTTATTTTCCTCTCATGTCACGCTTTCGATTAGATTCGCCTAAATCTTTCATGCACTTAAGGAAACCCATCGGAATTTTCCCGAGCGCAAATCGGATCGGGTTACCTCTCACTCGAGCGGTGACTCGCGGGCTACAATCTCCTCGCAAACTAGATTCTAGACGCGCTGACCGATTGATCATCCCATAGGTCCGAAGGATTCCCTGCCACGGAATTTTCGCATTCTCGACCGGTGAAGAACACCTCCGAAGGTTTTCGGGTTATCTCGCACCCCACCTCGAATCAGAGGTTAGCGGGCTTTTCAAGCGCTCGAACCGCGCCTCGCCTCAGTCTGGGCAGTGGAGAGGGGGAATTTCAGCTTAGCTGCGGTCCATTCGAGTACCTCGCATAGTCGATCTTCGATGCAACCCATTTGAACGAAATTCGGACAGTCGGCATTGAGCAGCTCCGAGCGAATCAGCTCTCCGATCTCACAGGAGGATCTCCATTTGGACCGCTTCGTCAGTGACATTGATCCTTCCGAGACAACTCCTAGCTCGTACAGTGAGTATTCTCGATTCTGTCTCCCCGCTGCGCGATTTTCGGAGCTTTACTCCCTGTTTCGACATCAGCCCTCAAGCGAGCGTTGCCCGAGTGACAAGGGCATGGAATTTCACCCAGGCTTCACGATATCAAGAATATCGAGTCGAGCTGGGGCTCGATACAGAGTTGCCATTGAATATACTCAAAATTCCTTTCCAGGTCTCATCGCAGAAGCTCGGGGGTGAGCTCCCCTCAGAAAGGTTTCAGATGATCTCGCATCCTGCCGTTCGCGGCATGATCATTTTCTGTGCTGCTCAGCTGGTTCGAGGTGATTGTCCCTTCCACACTATGTCGAAAGCTGAAATGTTACACCTGAAAACGTCGACGCTATTCAATGACTCCATGGATCGCTCACACTACGAAAATAGCCGCGAGAAGAGAGACCTGTTCTACAGCAGTATTGGATCCTACCTCAAGTAAGTTCTCGGAGCTCCTCTCGATCGAGAGGACCTCCCCTACCTTGGACAGACATAAGAGTCTCAAGGAAGCGGTATTCCCCTCACTCGCTCAGGACCTTGCGATCCGGGAGTTCGCAGTCGAGATCGACGCCCGGTGACACCCTACGCAACGGCAAGCGGTGGAGCATAATCCGCAGCGCCGCCTGCTACCCGGGGCCGAGAAACATCGTACTGCTCGGAAGCGGCCTCCTCTTCGTGTAAGGATGCTTCCAGAGCGTGGGACGATGAATAAAAATCGAATCGACGGAGGGTGAGGGCTAGACTCTGATCGGCCGACGCTGCTCTACGGTCTTGACAACGTCAGATACAGGAGGCAGTATAGCACATACCTGTCGTCCGTCGTGTCCGAAACCCTTGCCGCCACCGTTCCTAGATAAGACTGGAAGGAATTTATTCATCTGCTGCCCCGTAAATTCGAAATACTAGCTCGTTCCTCAAAGTCGACCCGAACCTTACAGGCACTGCGTGAAACCCGTCCTTCAGTGCGGAACCGACGGCTACCGATCGTACAGTGGGATCTGTAACAATGTCCGGAATCACAAGTGGGGAGCTGTGCATTCCTGCCTCTTGAGGCTCCTACCGGCGAATTACGAGGATGGCGTGGCGAAACCGGTCAAGCTCGCACCACCCAGCACAATATCGGCGAAACTGCGCCATCTCGGGAGAGCCGGCAATTCCACGAACTCAGTCACGAACTTTTTCTTCGCTTTCGGACAATTCCTCGCTCATGATATCACCAACTCGGTCACCTCGGATATAATCGGCAGTGATTGTTGTGAATCGAGTGGAGAATCCCAAGATCAATGCGAGATGAGGCTCGACGTCTCATCGGATCCTTTTTTCAAGAGACACAACGTCACTTGCATAAACTTCATCCGAGGCGCGCGATGTCCCTGCAAATCGGGTCCTAGAGACCAGATGAACGGCGCCACGAGTTTCATCGATCTGTCGCAAGTTTACGGGAACGATGGACTCCTGAGTGATTACCTGAAGGATACAGAGGAGCCCTATCTTCTAAAAACGGAGCGAGGCGACGAGCTTCCCCTGGGTGGCAAGGATTGCGTTTCTACTCTTTGCTTCTTCGGAGGAGATCACCGTATCAATCAGCAAGCCGCATTGACGGCCATGCACACTCTCTTCTTACGTAACCATAATTTCCTGGCACGGAAGCTGAGGGAGCTCAATCCAACATGGAGTGCTTTCAAGGTATTCGAAGAAGCTCGCAAGATCAGCATCGCGCAATTCCAAGTGGTGTTTCTGAAGGAATTCCTACCCCTTCTGCTCGGGTTCGAGCTCCTCGATCGCCACGGAATGTGCTTCGAGACTTTTCTCCGAAGAGCGAGCGTTTATGACGATAACTTGGAGCCCGGGATGTTCAATGAATTCGTCACGGCGGCGTTCCGGCTGCACACAATGATACCGGAGAGGTTGGGGAGATTACCGTACAAGTTTTTCGATGTGGACGAGTATCTCAGAGAGGATGGACGACCTGGGGACCACTGCTCTTCTGTGCTCCAAAATCTGATACACTCCAGAGGGAAAACACCGGAATTCCCAGCATCGAATGTTGTTTCTCGACACATTTACGACACGGACGGCGACTTCGGCCTGGACTTGGTGGCCATCAATATCCAGCGCGGGAGAGACCACGGGTTGAGGCCTTACGTAGATTACTTGGCCGCGATGAGGAACATAAGCGTGACCAAGTTCGACGATTTGATTCCTCTTATGGGTGATGAAGCCCCATTGATCCTGCAATCAGCATATGCGGACGTGGCCGACGTGGATCTGTTCGTTGGTGGTCATTTGGAGAAGAAGCAACACGGTCTTCTCGGCTCGCTTGTTGCTGAAATTTGCGTGACCCAGTTCAAAAGAATCATCGAAGCCGACCGTTTCTTTGTCACTCATCGGAATTTTTTCTATAAGGAGCAATTCGAGGCTTTGATGCGATCCACTTCGGCCGATATCTTGTGTACGAATACCGAGTTGAAAGAGGTTCCGACGAATGCCTTCAAGATGGGCTCCGAGGCTGTAATATGCTCAGAGAGATCTGGTCTCAATTTGGAGCTCTGGCGAGATCATTATACTCAAATCTAAACGGATACGGCCGATATTCGTACACAAGTACTTATGAGCCCGAACTTATCGGGAGTTGACCTATGGCGAGTCAAGAAGCCGTTCACGATGCCTCTCTCCCGGCCACGAGCAAATAAAGAACATTCAAGACCGAGTGTATACGGCCTAGAATCGATGCGTAATGAATTTCAAGTTCGTAAGATCTTCTCGGACCTTTAAGCTTGTTACTCCTCCATGGGTGACAATCAGAGTTCACGCCTTGGGAATCCGGCCCAGAAACACCTGAAAATCATTGATTCCCTCCTTCAGGTCGATAAATCGAGCTACAAAGTTCGGGCACGGGAGAATCTTACTCATTGCAGGCGGAGATGACGGTGAAAAGAGCCAGAAGAAAGCGAAAAAGAAATCTTTGGCACTACAGGAGACGCGTTTTTTCTTTTGATACATCAAGCTCATTGCTTGCCATATGTCCGATAAACGATTCAAGAGTTGGTGGGAGAGATAAAAACTCACAGGCGGACCTTATTCCGTTGAAATCGTACGATCCAGACGTTGAGGTCTCAAGGGTTATTTTAGTCTAGTTTACAGTGGGGGAAAGGCGGTTTGTACTCACAGGTGAAGAAGGCTAGTCTCTCGTTTTCCGTTGACGTAAGGCATCGCTTCAGTCTCTTCTTGAATAGAGGGAGGTTGTTCAGATGCTAGACGGTAGATTCTTCCACATTTTCGCTACTCTGTGCCTCAGGCAGTTTTGTGCGAGTCTCGATTTCCTAAGCACGAGCTTGATGATGCGATTTCCGGAGGCTCTGGTTGGTCTACTTCCTCCCAAGAACTCTATCGGAATGATCCGAGGCCCGAGACTTCTGATTTTTTTATGCAGGAAGACACACAGATGGTAAGTCATCACGAGTGGTATAGGCAGAATGTTGACATTGTTTGGGCAAGTGGGGGGGGGGGGTTTCTTGAGTTGCGTTTTGGGTGCCATGCACCAGTAGGTCATGCAGTTGACTAGATGAGAGTGGACGTATCCTTCATACAATAGTTTGCCAATCGCATAGCCAGCAAGATGGCATAATTTTTTAAGGAGGAAAAGTGATTTGTTCAGTTTCTTGCACATTTTTGCAATATGTTGTCCAGCGTCCAGCTTCTCACTCAGGACGCTACCCAGGAGCCTGACGCTATCCACTTTGCTGATGGGGGTCAGGTGTAAGAAGACATTCAGTACAGGGCTCTCACTCCTGGGTTTTATAAAGATCATGTAGTGAGTTTTCTCGAGATTCAGTTTCAGCATGTCAGTCTGGCACCAATCCTCAATGCTCCTGAGTTCCGTCTGCGTTTTCTGTTCAAATTGTGCGTAGGTCGCGCAAGAGTATACGATCGAGGTATCAACAGCGTATATCAACACCTCTCCGCTGCATACAGAGGGTAGGTCATTTATCAATATAAGGAAACCCAAAGGGCCGAAAATGCTCCCCTATGGGACACCCAGCCTGACTGGCAGGGCAGCACCCAGGTTGCCGTCCAGATGCACAGGCTGGGTGCGATCCGAGGGGTAGGAAATTAGGAGACTCAGAGCCTCGTCCGTCCTTCCGATCGCCCTCATCTTTTGCAGTAGGATTTCCTTTTTGACGGAGTCAAAGGCCTTCCCTATGTCTATCAATAAAGTACCTCTGACTCTGTCTCCATCTAGGGCTCGTCTGACCGACTCGACTGTCTTGGTGATCGCATCCGAGGTTCCTCGCTTTTTTCTGTATCCAAAGTGAGATTCATAGAGCAGGACATGTTTCCCTAGGTAGTTTGTCAGCTGTGACACCAGTACGCGCTCAATAACTTCGTTCATTACCGGCAACACTGATGTAGGTCGGAACTCTGAAAGAGATTTTGGCGTTCTAGTCTTCGGTTTTGGGACCACTCGCGCAGACCTAAGGTCCTTGGGGGAGACTGAGCTCCTGATAATCTTGTTCACAACCTGGGTGAGTGGGACAACAACTTCATTTGCTACACTCACGACGACATTCGCAAAAATCCCATCCACTCCAGCCGATGGATTCTCAAAGAGCCCGAAATCTCCTCCTGGTTCGTTTCTTCGAAGCGGAAACAAGGAGCTGTGCTCCTCTCAATATTCTCAACAACTCGGTTCCTGTTTACTCTGGCATTAGGGTAGAAATCTGCGCTTGAGGTGAAGAAATCATTTAAGGCGTTGGCTCTGTTAGCATCACACACATCGGAAGAGCCCAACTTCACGTCAGAAGGGATGGTTGCGAGGTCATCTGATACATAATACATTCAATAAATGTGAATAACAGTACCCGGGACGTTAAACCTTGGCTGTGTGGATCAGCCCGAAAAAGTTTTTATAATACATTCAGCCTCTTGAGAGTCTGTCATGGACTATGCCCTCTCTCCACTGATTTCGTTATGCGAATAGTATTGTAACGGGGCTTCCTTTACGTGGGCTAGGCCCTGGTGGGATAGGGCTAAGAGCAAGGACGGCAGGTCTGGGAAACTGTGGGGCGGATGTCTCACCCGCAAGTTGCTGAGGTCGCGGGTCGTAGGTCGAAGGGACAGACGGGGCGTGATGGACTTGGGACGGGAGTTTTGGGCGAGGTTCCGGGAACCGTGGATTTCCGGGACGGCGAACGAAGGGCCAGGGGACACAAGGATAACACGAGTTGTCTGGGCAAAACCTCGCACGCAAGTTGTTGGGTCTCGCGTTGCGATCTCTTTTTATTCGGGTCTCCCTCTCTTAATTCTATTGCAATTCTATTGGCCCCCGACGCGCTCGACGGCCACGCCGCCGTTCGAGCTCGGCACCGTCCTCTGATATCGTATCTCACGCGCACACGTCGTTTTGTTACCCTTCCGCCTTCGTCCCGGGTTACCCTGCGCCGCCCGCGCTGCGGCACCAGGCTTCGACATTGAATTCCCAGCGCACATATCGTTTCCTTACAATCTCTCTTTTCCGCCTCGGTTTCGCTCCGGGATCGGCAGGGCGCACTACAACTATGCGCTCCCTAGATCTGCCGACCTCGGTTCCTGCCGGGGCCTCTGTTCCTGATTTCCAAATTCGACTAGCACTCTAGGTCTTCTCTCAGGGTTCTCTTTCCTCGACCGAATCTCCGTCACAGTATGATAGCCCGAGTTTTCACTCAGGAATGTTCGCCGCAGCGGTGCGCAGTCGCATGTCGCCCGAAGAAACTCTCTCCACTTCCATATACGGATTCAGGACGTACCTAGTCGATTTTTTCGTTGGATTTTTCCGATTCAACCAGCATGATGTCGGCCTACATCGTCGAACATTCGATAGAATCGTCCATCCGTAGAGTCCACCTTGTTAGGCCCCAAGATAAAATCACCATGGAAGGGCCTCCCAGACAGAAGATTCAAAGACTTCTGATACTGGCTCACCAGATGATTCTCTGATCTGCTTCGTATTTCGCACGCCGCTCTTATGTTTTAATCGCTCCCGTACCAGTCTCCTTCGGAATGCGCTAGAGCAGGGGTGTCGAATCCGTGGCCCTCGGGCCACATGAGGCCCGCGAGGTCTTTTTTTGTGGCCCGCCACTCTTGCCCCACTTACTCGGAGCCGACTGTTTCGGATGAGTGCTTGGAAATTGAATGAGATCGGTGGAATGAATACCTCCGTACAACCGAACAAACGAGTTTTCCCTCTATTCCCGGAGGCTGGGAATGCATTCTTTCATGGAAGATAGGCATACATTCTCATTTTAAATGAATGTAAATTCTTAATGTGGCCCGCGGGCACCTGCAGCGCTCGAACGTGGCCCGCCAAAAATTTAAGTCTGACACCCCTGCGCTAGAGAGTCCGGGTCCCTCCGGAGCCGGAATAGTCTCAGCGTGCATTTTCCTCATGCTAAGAAGCTTAAGCCATGACTCATGATGCTCGGCTCATAAAATATTGGATTAAATAGCGGATTAAATATTGGATTAATGGATCGGATGAATCTCAACGGGATTTGAATACCAATTACTCGTCGTTTATTGTTTCCGAATGGGATTCTTCCAATAAAGTCCGATTTTTCGTCAGGTGTACATCCCCTCTCGTTGTCCCCTCTCGGGGATTCTCAGGCACCCTCTCTACACGAGACGATCATCTCTTTCCCGTTGGCTGCCACGGTCGTTATGGTCAGAGTAGGCGTGTCCTTCTTGAGGTCCTCGCGTAGCCTGTTGGCCAAGTCCTCGTCGGAAGGCAGACGGATATCATCAATGACTGTACCCTCTTCGTTCATCATGCAGACGAACCCATCTCTACCGATGTCCACGAGCTGGAAAGAATTGCCTCCATTATCCTCAAGAGAGACAAGGGATACATATTTTGGATACTGCAGCTTCCGCGAGCGCACTCTTCGAAATAGTCGCCGGGAGCCACTCCCTGTCGGTCGAGATCTCAGAAGGATTCCGTGGCAACCATGGTACACAGTCCTCGTTTCTCATCGCAAGGAGCAGGCCATTGTCCTTCTAGTTCAAGGAGGGGCAAGAACCATCCGCTATGGCACGGTCGTGAGGATCACGATGGAAAGATGATTCTCTCGAGTATTAAATGCCAGCATGCTAACCTTGTAGTCCCTCCTTTTGATGTTCGGCACCTGGACGGTGTTCGTTGAAGGAATAACTTGCTCACACCTCTCGGAGTTGAAGATATCGGCACCGATTATATGGACATCGCCGGAATCCGATTGAGTCAGCTCAATGATCTTGCATGGACGACCATGGAGATTGACGAACCCGTCTTTGCAGAGGGAGGAACAAACCGTGATTTCACAGTAGCTTTCTTCATCAGCCATCTTCGAAGAGATATTCAACGACGAGCGAGAGGTGGCTTCTGCAAAAACAGCCTTGATTTGTATTTTTGATTTTTGATTTTTGATTTTTGATTTTTGATTTTTGATTTTTGATTTTTGATTTTTGATTTTTGATTTTTGATTTTTGATTTTTGATTTTTGATTTTTGATTTTTGATTTTTGATTTTTGATTTTTGATTTTTGATTTTTGATTTTTGATTTTTGATTTTTGATTTTTGATTTTTGATTTTTGATTTTTGATTTTTGATTCTTGATTTGATTATGCTTTCAGCGTTATAGTCCGCTTGGGCTGTTTGGGTGGTCCTCTCGTTCCATCACCTTTTCCTCGGGTTCGTATCGCGAGTCCTGAGGAAAACGTTGCTCCGAATTTCGGAGAGAAACGTCTGAGCAGCTTTCAGCCGACGCACTTCTGCCGACCGTTTCTTATCGCGCCGGTTGAGACGAAAGGGTCCGTCTTCTCGACATTCTCAACGTAGTCTTCGCCCATCAGAGTCGCCTATGAATTATCCTATCCCTCCCTCCGCTTGATGTCTTACGTAGACCAATTCGGACGAGAAGACTCGAGCGCGACGAGAGCTCGACGTAGACGGCTACGGGTCATGCTCGTGTCTTCTGAGGGGGTGCTCTCGTCTCGGCTTCCTTTCACTATCGATTATGGTCGATACTCTCGATTCTCGACCCGTCCTCGCGTCGCATCAAAAACAACTGAGGGAAGTAAATGGGCAAATCCCTGAGTTTCCACCCAGGGCTCCTCCGGAGATGCTATACGTTTCCAGAACAACAATTGCATCGCGGTCATACTAAACGAGCTCATCTTCACTTATTAATCTTTGTCACGGAACAACGAAACAACTTCCCTGGACATAACTCAGAACAATCAGGCTCGATTCCTAAACATAGAAAGTCGGCGCTCGAATCATATTGTGGTCCTTTGAAGGTACGCAGTAGAGCTCCGCCATCGTTCTATCTCACAGCGGTGACCTTGATCGGGCTCAAATGCGGAGATTACTAAAGAAGAACGATCTGGGGACTGGCAAATTGGCAGATATATCATCCGCGGGCTGAAGAGTGTGCGAAAAGCCTCGGACATAAGCCCGAACCCCGCGACACAGAGGCCGGCTGGATATTTCAAAGAAAATGCTCGATATTCCTAGCTCATCTGTTGTCTCTGTCTGAGTCTTGGGTATCGGAATGCGGCGTCATTAATGACCTTGATTGGCGCCGCGCAAGATGGCACTGCGTGACGTCACACGCGAGGATTTCAATGAGCTATTGCTGGACCCCGGGTCAAAGCTTCGCTGTTCGGCTCGGTAATTATGCTTAAGACTGCCAAGCGGATTCCGTAGCAAAATTTCGCGCCAATCGCACTTCTCTATCGAGCTTCTTCCACACATCAATAAGCGCACGCCCACAAGATTTTCGAACAGATCGGAATGTCGACCTGCTCTCAACACTCATCGAATTGTTCGCGCCCTGCCGAGGAGAGGAGGCTGAGCTCGGAAACTGCCATCCGGAAACACGAACACAAACGCGGCTAGCTTAGGAGCGAAAGACCTCCCCTTTAACGGTCGACCGCTTCCTTTCGCCACGGTTGACCGAATGCTCAATTTCGACGAAACTAATCACGAATCGCAGATCCCAGGCAGACACGGGGCACATTTGAAGAGAAGTATTCTGGAGAGAATATATAAGGAAACTCGATTAAAATATCTAATTCGGACGGATCCGGTAATGCTCACATGCGAATCTGGTTCTAGCCAAGTGCGAAACTTCCGGAAGCTCGCAATCAAGACCTCATTTAGACTTCCGCCGGATCGGGATGCTGTCGCATGTTGGGCTAGTGTCTCAGACAACGGCTCAAACTTCAGCGGAACTCCCCTGAAGATGTCGCATCTCGATAACTGGGAGGTGCTCGGATACCCTTGAGCATAGAATGGACTTCCATCCGGGGGACATCTTCGAATAAATAATCCAGCATGGTGCTTGTTTACATCTTCGAACGTGCGGCGATTCCCCGGTGCGTGAGCGATCCGGTTCTTCCCGTCGAAAGTCATGGGCAACGCTTGACACAGCGCGCCCGCTACTCGCCGCGGAGAAACCCAATGGAGTAATGAATGTGGAGCGCCTCAACGATGGTTGCAGGTTGCTGATGATCAGATGTTTTCTGTCGTCCTCCCATGAATACGATTTTGTCCTCTAGTGGCGGAGGCGGCCGATTAATACTACTTCCGTACTTCTATAAGCTTGGTTCGCGCCGAGATCCTCTCGGTTTCCACAAGGGTACCGTGATGAGCCCACATCAGCTGGAGCTGATCGTAGAGGTTCTTCTCCGGTCACGAGCAGCCGAATCAGCCGATACCGTGGGGCTTTCCATGAGAGGAGAGCCTCAGAGCGGGCGCTCTCTAGGGTGTCACAGAAGAACTTTCCGGGAAACTCCGAAGCGAAAACTCGCTTCGATTGTGACAAGGCTTCCCAGGATGCTCAGCCTTGGATACCTTGTGTTATATTCTGCTCTGATCTATGATCATCGTAGATACAAACGATACATTCGACTCCATGAGATACAAAGAATGGAGTTCTGGTTGACGTACACTTCTCAGCGAGAACCAGAACCTCAGCCATCTTTACCAATTCGCCGGATGACGAAAGGGGCATTTATGCGCTGCACCGACTCCTATTTCATTGTCTCTTCCCCTCGACATCGGATTCCGCAATATAGTTTGTGATCGGGGCCTGTGCGCGGTGATCTCATGCGGAGTATGTCAGAATGTGGGAAGCTAGGCTGTATGAACATTCTCTACCGATTCCGCGATAATCGGACGGGCGGAGGTACAAACACAGAATGCCTCGCCGCTATCATTCGAGGAGTCAATCCCATCACTTACTACTCTAAGATTCTGGGGTACTTAGATTCTGAACTGAGATTCTGAGGTACTGCCGAATACTAGCGCGACCGGCAGAACCTTAGAATCTTCCGAATCCAGACTGATACCATGAACAAATACCATCGCGGCGATTACTCGTGCTTCGAGCATGTGAAAGATGCCACATAACACATAACTCCCTGGAAGACTCTCGCACCAGGCTAGTCGAGAAGAGCGACACATCGAGACAGCCGGGAATTCCGGCCAAGCTGGAGGTACATCTCCATTATATGTATCACAGGCTGCGGGCTGGAAACAACACGATTTTTCAGAAGGCTCAACCCCTTCGACGAATTCCCGCAGCTTTAGTAACACAAAGTTGTTCTTCGCTTCTCTCCACTCCAGATGCTTTGCGCGCCTCCAGTCGCCCCGTAGCGCTCTTTCATCGTGTTTTCTTCCGGTGTCTCCAAAAATGTTGGACAACGATGCCGATGGGGCGGCGCCGTCCCGCGGCAGCGGTTCAAGGCCGTCCACTTGTTGAAGAACAGAATCCCTGGAGCTCTCGAACTGCTCCGAGAAGCTTCCGGTGAGTTGAGGCAGCTGGAGGGAGCATTCTGCTGTCGACACGAAACGCTGTAGACAAGAACTCATGAACTTGAAACGTGTATTGAATAGAAATGGCACGAAATCCGAGATGGGCATAACAGGGTGATTATGCGCCGTGTGGTCGTCGTCCCAAGCGATTCAGTCGTATCGCTTCAGTTGCATAACTGAGAAGTTTCCCCTGCACGAAACTCGGCTGTTGCGGGCGTTCGTCAAGCTTCATTAGAGTTTCCTCTCTCCTCTGAGACAATTTTTCGCTTACTCGCGTATATGTTTTCAAGATTCGGACTAATGGAATGGAATCCATGTCCCAAGTCTTGGAGTGGATGTCGAATTCTTTGTAACAGCGATGAGCGTACTTCGCTTCGAAAGTCTGGAATCTTTTCGCTGCTGGTCCGTTGTCATCTTCTAAGCATTGCGGGGCGTCCTCCGGGCTCATCCGCGCAAACAGCGCAGATTTCGGATCCTGTCGTATGTAGTTTGTTAAAGCCTAGGGAAGAGGAACAATATTCGTACGCTAAACGTCGACATCGTTTCCTGGATAACTCGACGGGCATGATGTTTGCCGCTAGAGAGTCCTCCGGCAGTATCGTATTGACCATGAGCTCTCTCGGTATATACGTGGTCTCTACTTCATAGTCAGACCAGAGCGATTCCGATAAGATTATGATGATTTCGGGTTTGTTCAGCGTTGCACCTTGACTGCTCCTCGAGATGCGTAGCGCAAGCTCGTTGTATTGATTGGACAAGAGAGAGGTTAGGAATAGTGCATCCATGAATTGATGAAGTTTGGGTACGTGACGAATCGTGCAAATGAGAAGCGTCAAGGAATCCGCTCCACTAGGTAGGTCGGATCGAGTCCGACCTACTTGAGTCCGTGCAAGCTTTAGGACGTGAAAAAAGTTGGAGATGACTCAGAAATCGTGGACCACAGCGCGACTGGAAAGTTGAGCCTGGAGGAAGCTAAACCACGGAAGCACCTCACGAATAGTTTTCGAGTGTTTTAAACTCTAATCGGCGCTCGCTTGATGGTGGATGCCAGTTTTGATAACTCCGCGATTGAATACGTCATACCCGAACATCGTCTGATCGGATAAGGTCTCCAGACCACCTCTGCTCTGATACAGGGTACCCTACGCATAATGAGCAGTGCGTCAATCAAGACGGAACTCTCAAGTGGAGCAGTCTGGGGACTCCGAGTTCTGGGGTCGGGTCGAGCCCTTGTCACCTTGGAGGAATCCATGAAGCTCTTCTTGCTCTAATCGAAGCTGTAGGTGTACGCAGATTGACTTCTCTGGGATTTGATAGATGTCAACTCCGATAATTTTATTTTGAAAAACGTCTCGAACATCAGATGACCTATTAGAGAGATTCCCCGAGGGGCGAATGGGCCGGCAATCACTCCACTGGATGAGGGAATAGGGTCAGTCCTCGATTCCATGATCCTTACGTGAGGAAAAATAGTGCAGATGGAAAACTCACTGCGAGTTGGCCAGAGATGGGATTCCCCGATTTGTATACAGAGCTGCGTTCCAGTCGATTCGGACCGCAAAGTCACAGGTGAACATCACTCCTGCGCTTTCGGCACTCACCAGTTCTTGAACTATTACCGCCATCGAATTGTCCAGCTCTCGACCGCACTGTTTATTGTGAGTATCAGCTAGAACGAGAATCTTGGTTTGAGAATTGATCCAATTCTTGCTCGAGAAATCGCCGAAGAGGAGAATCGATTCCCCACTCTTTCTGCGAAAAGATTGCATTCATCTCAATGGCGTTATAGGCGTCCCGCCACGAGCAGAGCGGGAGCTGCAGTTCGAGGTGACCGAGTTGACTCTGCCCGAAGCGCTTGAGTGTCGCGAGTTCCATCGTGCGCTGAGCGTGTCGGGGGAAAAGGGAATCTTTGGAGAGACTACCAGAATCGGAAGGAAAATATTGGGATGGGTTGTGATTTATGTGTCCACCTGGTCGATCGTCGCAATAAGATCGTCGATCAGGAGGTTTTCTGAGAATGGTTCTCCATTTTCCTCGCTACCGAGTCGGGAGAGTCCTTGCAGATCATCGCAACGTGCGAGCGAGCTATCGTTCGACCGCTCCGATGCCCGATGGTCTTCATGGACCGGAACGAGCTTCCCGAGCGGTGGAGAGTTTTCTAATTAATTACATACCTTTGTCACGCTCTGTCGAGCATCATCGTGACGGACTTCATGTGTTTCGTTCTTCTTTTTTCCCGAACAACACATTCCGCCAAGGACGGGGACGAGATGTTTGTACTGAACCCATACCTAGAGCAGCGCCGGCGGGAGCTCAGGCTTACTCAGTATATTGATGAAAATTATGAGAATAATCTAAATATTGAAAGTTGTAGTATACCTAATGAGAATATTGAAAAAGATGAAAAATAATGAAGATGACGAGACAATGAAGGAAATAAAAAATGGTTTCGAAACTCTCAACAATTAGGAAAATAATAAAAATCATGATGAAGATACCGACTTGATTATCAGCACGCTCAACTCGAATATAGTGATAGCGTCGGGGGCGAATTCTGGCCTGGACAGAGAATCAGTTTCTGGAGCCCCTTTGATTTGCCCGCTAGATGGTCTTCCACGGTCCCAGAAGCCTCATGATTGGTGATCAAGAACGTCAGCACGTACTACTAAAAGCTTCCAGCCCATGGCTCAACTGGAGAGCTCACCTCCTCCGCCGTTCCAACCGTAAGCAGGAGCATCCCGCGTCAAATCGTGAAACAATGCACAATGCAGAAGAGTCCACACCTGCTTGCAGTGAAATCTGTGAATCCCGCTTGGAAAAGAACGAGTGGCGGGCGTTCCGCGAGATCTTCCCGGATCGGCCCGACAAATTGAGGAGCTGGCAGCGGAGCACTTCGGCCTCCCCCAGCCCGACAGACGAACCACATCAGTGATCTATCGGATCGGCCAGCGTCTTCCCAGGCAGCTTGGACGAGTCATGCAAGCATGACGCGATTTGCGGGTTTTTGGTGTCTAATGAATGCGGGGAATCGAACGAGTTGCGACTCTGCTACTCCCATGCGCGCCCGGGGTCGCATCATCGGTGGACGGGTAAACGATTCGTAGACACTTTGCTCCCATCTCCCCGGGATACCCGCTGAGAGTTCGGTCCGGATTCGGGAGAGGATCGAATCTTGTCGATCTTTCTTGGAAAACAGTCCGGCCCTGTATAATCGTCAATTCGCTGGGAGCACTGCGCTTTGGAGACTTGTTTCCAGATGTTAAGGTTTATTGACAGGCGAAAAGGGGAGCTCCATCAGCTCTGAGAAGCTCCATTCCCCCATCGAGTTTTAGTATGGAAACATCGAAAATCATTGTGAGACGAATCTCCCAATTGATGATTGTTCACAGCCGCAGCTAGAGCTCTTCTGCTACAGCGGCAGCGAGGTAGTCGGGTCGAGTGTGTCTTCCGCTCCAGGAGGAGATTTGAACAAAATCCCTTTATTCGCATCCAAAGTCACGATCTCGCCCGATTCCACAAATGCGGTCACACCGGGGATTCCTACAATCGCTGGCAAACCGTATTCCCGGGCCACCACGGCCCCATGAGATAAGAGCCCGCCGATCTCGGTCACCACTCCGCCAAGCAGAGGGAAATACGGAGTCCAACCTGTAAACCCGTTTCCGTATTCAAATAGAGCGCTCCGATTTCACCAAAGTCACCCTACGATGCTTCACTCCAATCCACTCCAATCAATTCACTCCAGGATGTATCAGAGGATGTCTCACCCGTATCCGTCGCTCTTGTTATCAATATATCGCCTCTTTCGATAAGATGAGCCTCGGTGTAGAAGTCCTGGACGACCCGCGCAGGTCCAACCGCTATACCTTCGCTCACGGGGGTTCCTTCCAGACTTTGTGCATTCGGGTCGACTACTATGGTCGATGAGTCGATCTGTACGGATTCGAGTTTTCAGTCTGAATTGAGTCGAATTTTGAACATTCAAAATCATCCGATGTCTCTATTCCGTAGTACTTACGGGTTTCGGCATGCCGTACAGGAGGCATGGGAATCGCTCCTGGTCGAGTACACCGTGCAATTTCTGCCGTCGAATGACTCTAAAAATTGAAAAGAAAGTGTCATCCCGAGGCCGCCGGAGCGGTTTTAAATGTTCAAAACTCGATGAATGAATCTCCAACTCACTTCGGGATGGTTGACGTATCTCTCGACGTGATGAAACGGTATAGCTCGTCGCAAGTGAAGAAAAACACCAGCTCGGGATCGGCAAGTCTGCCTTCGTCCCGTAGGCGCTCTCCGACCCGCCGAATGGCTAGACGCAGCTTGTGAATGAGCTTGACGACGCCGGACTTGGCTGTTTCTCGCATGAAGACCGCATATTGAGCTTTTTTGATGAAGTAGTTAAGAATTTTCCTCTTCATGAAACCCGGTCGTTTCGGAAGCTGGTCGACGGTCATGCCGTGTTCTTCTATTTTGTGAGTGACTTGCTCGACACTCCTCACGTTCAGCTGCAGTGTTTTGATCAGCGGCATCGGGTCAAGGTCCCAGGTCTTGGCAAGGATGTCGAACTCTTTGTAAGAGCGGTGCGCGTTTTTCGCTCTGAAGTTTCGGAATTCCTTGGCGGGCTCACTGTCGTCACTCTCGAGCCATACCAGAGCTTCTTCCGGAGTCAAAGACGCAAAACGGTCAGCGGAGGGGCTATTCTTGAACGACTCCGCCAGAGCCTGAAAATCGATGGTGGGATGCAATCACTGCTGATTCATGATCCTGAGCTGGCCCTCTCTCTCTGAGGTGATCGCCATACGGTCGCTCTTCGAACACCCCATCTATTACCGTCAACTCCTTGGGGATTTGTACGCTCTCGACTTCGTAGTCTGAACGGAGCAGTCTCGATAGGAGAATCATCAGTTCAGGTGTAATACGTTCTTCGCCTTGACTACTTTTGAGTAAATTCAATGACATGACGTTGTATAAGCTGACAACAGTCGCCGTCGACGTCATGGGTACAAGTGATTCTCTGAACCGCGGTATGAGTCGTAGGGCTTCGAGAAACAAAGTCAGGGCGTCCCCCCTGTCGCCAAGTCAATTTTATCCATTTCCGTCTTGGCGTGTCGCAGTTTCGCCTCGATACCGCGTATCTCCTATTTGGAATGAGAAGGCTCTTTTGAAACGTCGACATGATGCTATAGTCTATGATACGCTGTAGTCTGCTCGGGGGTTCCTGCAAGGGCTTGAAGCGTGGCAACTCACTTTGAAAACGAAAGGAATCATAGCGAAGCCGAGCGATGAGTTCTTCTCGTGTAGAATTCCTTTCTTCAGGGCTTCTTCCTCGCTGATATCGTAACCGAACATGGTCACAGCCACGGCTCCAGTGGATGCTTTACTCTGCATCATGGGATTCTTGGAAGAGATTCGATCCTGAGTATCCGTCATCATTCGCGGCTTGGATTGATATGCAGACATCAGAGATCTGATATGCGTGAAGAATCACCTTTGAATAATTCATGAAACACTTCTTGCCGCAGATAGAGAGCTGTTGGTAAGAGAATTGACTCTGATCGATCTCGATAGCCTTCAACTCCGCGAACTTGACTCTGCAGATCGTGTCCCAGCACAATTGGGAGAACGTGGTAATTCCTAACGGTGAGAAAACGCCCGGCATGACCTCACTGAAACCAGGTGATGGGTTCATGAGTTACACCAGCCTTGCACCAGTCGCGGAAGTCGATCGATGACCTGACTCACTCAAAGTTGGCGCGGGACAATATCTCCCGATTTGTATAGAAGCCCGTATTCAGATCGTGTCTGAGCTCATAGTCGCTTTCTTTCAGGAAAGAAGTCACAGGACGACATTGGAGTAGGAATATTTTTCCTCCGACGACAGCCCATTCGATGTCTTTTGGAGTATTCGTTACATCTGACACCTGGAAAATTTCAACATCGGAGCTCGTTGCCCCCATGACCACAAAAATATCAACGGGATAGAGCTCAGTGAGCAGAGGTCGTATGAATAGCTTATATGAGAAGAGAAGCGATGAAGAACGTCGCTAGGTACCAACATCTCGGCCAATGCAAGCCAGCTCCACGGCGCTTGCTTCGTCCAAACAGAAAGTTCCGGCCCGCTCTTCATCGATGGTTTCCTGTTCTGTACCACTCCCGGACTCGGACTCGACGATAATGAGGTCTTTTTTCCCGCACTGTAAAAGGTCTTGACGGTCGGTATCAGTCTGCTCGAGTCAGCTTGGGAGATATTAGTAGTTCAGCTCACCGTCTTCGTACGCAAGAAAATCTGGTCTCCTCGACGTTGTAGAATATACGTGTCCGGATCCGAAGAAGCGGAAACCACTGACTCTCCGAGGCCGAAGTTGGCAGTGATTAGAATATCCGATGGATCCGATGTTACGGGATTGCAAGTGAACATGACCCCGGCACTCATCACCCATCAGTCCACTCAATTCAAGACCGTGCTGTCGCTTGTAGTTCACGGCTGGAATTCCGAAGTTTCACTCTCGAGTCCACGGCGCCGTTCGCTTCAATGCTACCAGAGGAATTCCCAGTGGTAAGATCACCACCATATAGCAGTGAATACCTGTCAGGGAGAACTGCGAAGCCCAACATTTGACAACGCATGCCGCGATTTCTCGTTCGCCTTCGACCCCTAAGAACGTCGACATTTGTCCCGCCGCAGACATCCCTTCCGAATCTTCACCGATCGCAGAAGATCTAACCGCGAATCGCCTCGAGTCCCATTCGCTCCCGAAAGTCTCCCGACATTTCCTCGAAAGCTGGGGATGAAATCGTTCATGGACTCATCGATCCCTGGTACGAGTAATTCCTTCCAATAGATGATGCTGTCACTCCGGGAATGAATAATAATTAATGAATGCGTTCCGGGGGCGATTCGACGGCTACGTAACCACGAGCTGACCTGGAGGAGGATCGAATCCGGCAGACGCGATCCGGCGATTTTCGACACACATGTCTCCGATGCCAGTTTGAGTCCCTCCATATCCGCTCCCTTTGAGTTTTGGAGAAAATCCTCTATCGCCTTCTGAACTTCGGGCAATTGGCTAAATACTGTGTAGGCGTTCGTGGTCAGGACGACAGCGGGCGGAACGGTGAACTGCAATCGGAAATTCCTCGCTTGGCGCGGCTGCTGTACGGGAGGGCAAGGGAATTCGAGGAGGATGAATACCTCCATCACAGAGACGATGAATCCATGGAAACAGAGCCTCCTACCGTCTTGAGCCTCGTTGAGAGATCAGTGAGCACGGCCAACGAGCTTCCTTTACCTCCGCTGAGCTCCGGGTTCTTACAGGCGACATCCAACGTGCTCAAGAATAAGTCGCTGTTCGTCTCTGAGGGGAAATTCAAGAGCGCAAACCTGTGATTGAGAGCGCTCAGGTCAAATCGGTATGGCGTGCATTCGGAATATTCTTGCTTGAGCTAAACAGGAGTTGGGCACCATTCAGATACTCACAGCTGCAATTTATTCTCAGGCAGTCTATGAGCTCCGCGAAGCGTGAAGACCGTGCTCAACATTCTGTGCGTTTCTCCCGAAACCTTGAGTTCCCCGGCTCGCTTTCCGAGGAGCCACGGTTCTTTCTCAGTCGAATTCAATGTACTAATGTCGGTCGTCTTCGGAGCGTTTAGGAAGAATTCATGGGGTACATCTCCTAAGATTGCGGTCAGAATAAAGGAGCGTGCCAATTCGAATGTGAGTGATCCGAACGGAGCGTTCAACGTCGACGTGACTCACTGATATTCATCGAAAGCGATTCTTCCCGCTGAGCCGGAAGCTTGTTCTCCTCAATCGATCTCCAGTGTCCTTTGCGTATAGGCTGTACAAAATGCCGCGGATTGCTACCGTAACCGTGAGCTCCCTCCGCTATCTTGAGAGCCGTGAAAGTTGTACCGTTCTGAGGAGTTCGACGAACCGTAGGAACTGGACCTCCGTCCGGTAGGATGTCATTTTTTGCACATCAAGATCTCCGTGCCTTCTCTGATCATTTCTCCGTAAGATTTCCGCTAAGAAGAGGGGCTCACCTCCGCGTACCCAACGTGAATCTCGATATTCTGAAGGAGTCTTGAGCTGCCGAAGAATTTCAGTCTCGAACCAAAAAGCATGAAATCTTGTCTCTGCCCGTCCAAGAAAATTTCAGCGAAGAGCGTGACCGGTTGCAAGATGGCCTGGCAAGCACTGGTGCATCTGGGAAGGTCGTCAGCGGAGAAAGATTTAGAAACGAATGGTCGACGCTCAATAGATGTCCTCTCCGAGATCTCCCGTCAGATTTCTCACTTCGATATTTCCGTCTTGGCACTCTCGATGCCCTCCTGACTTGAAAACGCTCTCGCGAGGAATGAGCCTTGAATTTGCTTCGGAAGCTCGAACGTGTGTCCACTCATTGCCAGCTGCGCACCGAATCGGACATGCACGGTAGATCGGGGATCTGCCCCGTCCAAATCTTCCATGACCGTGTTCACTGCCACGCGCCAACGTCTCATGGGTGCGTTGCACTCTAGACGAACGCCAGCGGCACTGTACGCGTGACCTTGAAGACAATTTTCGTTCACTCAGACGCCTCCGAGGCACATGGAGCAACAATTCTGAGAAATATGATTGCCGTTCGACGGCTCACTCTTACTCACCGTCGCTGTTGTCTCTGTATACAGCTTCCCGTAAGATGAGACGACGGTCATTGATTTCGAGGTAGACCCATGTAATCGCGACTCGGGGCTCGAGTCTCTCGAAGAAAATCTCTATTTGTGTTCCGGATGATGGATCGCACGCATACCAATGGAGCCAATCTTGTCTCTTCAGAATATCAATTTCTGATTTATATTGACTTTTCGAAAGGAAGTCAACACTCATGGATATCGATCATCCATACCTCTGTGAGCAGCTCCAGTGGAGAATCCAGAGCCCATTCTTTCTCTGAATATATAGCGTTCATCTTGATGGGGTCCTCTGTTTCCTCCCACGTGAAAACTGGCAGCTCTAGATCCATCTTCTCCAACTGAGCTCCTGCGAAACGTTCCAGCGCCTTCAAGGGCGACATCTGTCGAAAATTGTGTTCTTGAGTCCAACTTGACCCCCAATGCAATCAAATGGGGGAGATCGCACCATTTCTGCTCTCGCCCTGTAGTGATTCTCCCTTTTCGTACGGCACCTCAAGCTCGCATCGGCCTCAACCATCAGTCCAGATCGATTCTCGTGGCGAACAGTGCGTGGTGGTCCCCATATGGCTGAACCACTCGCTCTGCAGACTCAATCCCGATTTTCGGCGCCTAAGAACCGCGGGGTTACGATAAGCATTCTCTTCCCGGTTCAAGTAAACAAGTGAATACGTCCGAGAAACCTCTCCCTCAATCTGATCTGGATGGCGATGTCTTCTGCCCTTCAGATATGCGACGGATACTCGCCCGGGCAATGGATCGGATACATCAATGATATTTCCTCGACATGCGTATTTTGCAAATAACACTCCCATTCTTGGAATTCATCTGTCGCTGAGAATTTCGTATTCAGACTTCCCTCCGAATGTCGACTTGACGTGTTCCCCGCCGAAGAGACCGAGGAACTCGCCAATTAACATCGATCATCGAGGCTGTTGACAGATCGCGCGCGCATCTTCGCGGCGAATATCGAGTACGCCCGAAGCGTCCAAGGTCTAGTCGATGATATTGTTCGCCTCGATCAGCTTGAGCTCGGTAGAACGTTGCAGTTCACTGAATCTTTTGGGTCGGCTCGATATCACCCAGCGGTCGGAGATTCAAGTGCGGACCATTGTTTAGGGAAGACGCCACATATATACTTCCAGAGACTGCCCTTCAAGATTTCTCTTGAGCAATTCACTTCGGCAAATCTGGTATGGATATATGATGGCACTACGACCGCACCATTCGGGAACGATAGCTTGAAGTACTAAATCCAAGCTCATCTCGATACCTTCTGAGAACACTCTTCGAATTCGCATCCTCCACGGCAAGACATGTGGCCCTGTGGTGACATGTGGAACTCAGATCTATTAACTCGGACCACTCAAGTCTGCGGGATGAACACATCGACAGTAGATCGGTTGGACTTTGAACTGATTTCAAGGCATGGCATCTCTCCCGCCATCAACGGAGAAGGATGTGTCTGCTCCTCTCCGAACACTTCCCCATGGTGCGCGGAGTGAAGGCGCCCATATATTCTGTGGCGTCCGAAACGACCGGAAGCGAGCTCACCTCGGATGAGTTAATGCGATTTACAACCGCCGGTCGAGAAATCGCTGTCACAACTCATTCGAAATCCGATTCCGTAGACTGCGGAGTGCGTCCGTCCAGGCTTTGGCTCGTCGCGTGTTGGGGAGAGAGCCGATCTTGGTGGGAGGAGAAACGCGCTGACCGTGCTCCTACCCTCGCCGGACTGAATCGAGTATTGCTTCGTCCGTGCCTTGCGCGATCGCATCGAGTTTTTAGTTCCAAGGTTGTGATGTCTCTCCGGAAAATCGACCCGGAAAAAAACAAGAAGCCGTCGCCAATACCATCCGCCCGCTGGGTTTTGGTGTTCGGAGCGCTTTTTAGAGAGGTCTTGTCTGTTTCCACTCGATAATTCGTGAAGAAAGCGTTGTACGGCGACGGCTGGGGTCCCTGGGATTCCTTAAGTTAATAAATAGTGTGTGTTAAATCGAGCGTACGAGAGACGGATTCTAGCGATCACAACTCCCCGAGTTCGGTTCCGAGATCGTTCCGGCGATAGAAAGTTAGAACACCAGCGCTTGACTGACGAGACACCCTCGACCGAGAGTACATCACAACTGACTTTTATTGAGAATGAGAGCGATTCGGCATCGCCGAGGGAGAGTATTCGTAGCGGACGACACCGCGTCGGATAAGAGCCATGATAGACTGATATCTAGGAGATTCCCAGCAATATTACAACGGAATTTAACAGTGTGTCTGATCCCCGATTCCGACAGCGATTCCATCAGTAAGGACTTCTTTTTCGGAGGCCGATGATCATTTGACGATATCGTCCAGGGCTCGGATAGCCTCCGCTCCAAACATCTCGCAGAGCAGGGAACGTGACCCAGGTAGCGCTCCTTCAAAGCTTGCCGCGACAATTTATTCGCCACCCTCCGCAGGTCTCGACCGTCTCTCATCGAGGCGGGGGCTTTCAAGGAGCGATACATTTGACGCTCGAGTTCCCAGAATGGCTCGCAAAACTTCCTCTAACAGGAATCCCGAGCGTTTCTCACGTCAGGTTCCGGAGACGAGAGAAGAGATTCGAGAGGAGCGGGGAGCTTTCGGTGACGATTCGGTCAGGAGACCCGACGCGTGGACTATTCTCCTATTAATCATCTAATACTTTCTTGCGAGCTAGACGACAGAGACACAAGAGGGTCAACGCGTCTCACACTCGAGTTCCGCGCTCGGATAGAACTAAATGAGTGTCTGAGAGCTGCCGAAGGCCGAACGCGACCTGAAGACTGGGCTGCGGAAGCTTCTTATCGAGACTCCGTGCGGGCAAGACACCAAGAGAGAGCATCTGGGCAGCTGACCAATGACACCACCAAAGGCTCCCGACGAGTGAAGCTCCTAGTAAAATGATATAGGTAGGTCGCTCCGATATGATGATGTGATTCTCAGCTGGAGGTTCCACGAGTCGAGCGAAGGCCGCCGACAGCCTCAGTGGACCATTGCCCGCTTGGAGGGACCAGAAGTACGAGTTCAATCTCTCCTTGGCAAATCAAACGCCGGAATCAGGTGGCTTCCCCGGTCCCATCGAGAGATCAGCTGATATCACCGAAAAAGGAATCATTATTTCATCTACGAGATGCCAAACGATCCTTGTCATGACCCGATAGCACACTCCATGAAGACGAATCTAGCATTTCTAAAGCCAGATCACAGCTGCTTGTCAGCTCCCGAGAGGGATAATCTCGGCTTGTTCCCAGTGTCTCACTCGCTTTTTTTGGCGTCGAATATCTTGTGCCCGGCTGCTCTACCGCCAAGATCCAGTGACCTCTGAACGCCGAACCTCAAGGCGCCGTTTTCTCGAAAAGCTCCCTGTTCCGTCCAACAGTGTCCTTCTCAGCAGCTCACTGCCGCCGGGGACTCTCTCGCTCTCGAAGTGCGGAGCGCCTCCAGCTCATCTCTATGCAAGTCTGCGTAGGGAAGTCACCTACCCTCTGCTCAGATACAAATGTAATGATTGCGCTGCTTTTTGCTTGCGGGCTTGCCCCCAACTTCTTCTTGATGAATCAAGTCCGGATGGGATATGAGCCCGTCCACAGCCGACCCCCGAGCCCTAGCGGCAAGGCTTCACGGCGCGCGACTTCCAGGCACCTCGAGAGAGTCTCGGATTGCCATAAATCCATCTGTCGCCACTCTTCATCGGGGCCGTCGTTCGCAGACCGGAATATCCGGGTGAAATCCATCAACGTCATGATCGCATCTATCATCTCGGGCTTTCCAAGTGAGCTGAAATCAATCTGGAGGGCCTTTCGTGCAGCCCTCAATTTCGGCTCCGACCAATGCTCGGGATAGTTTTCTTCACCGTCTCGCATATCTCCCATTCTCCCGGAACCCGAGGTTTCGAGGAGATCGGTCTTCTCATGGTCAGTCTCTGATATTCAGCTTCATCCGAGTGCGCGGGAGATCACGAGCATTGCTCTATACCAAGGAAATCAACGAGACTCGACCTACCCGCGGAATCAGCTTCGGAAGGAGGGGCAGAGGAAGATCACTCCGACTGAATTCGGATGGTCAAGGTCCCGATTTCCTTCCACAGCGGTATCCGCATAGAGCCTTAGCTCCCTGAGGAGAAGGAGGCCTTCCCTGCTAATGACACCATTGTTCCCGCTCTGAGGGTTTTCTCTCAATTTGTCCACTCGCTAGCCACTGCTATGGTGACAAAAAGGATGGTGGGCCCGGCGGTCCTTCCGAATTCGAGTAAATAAACAAGTTTCAACGCTTGGGGGCTCATGAAAAAGAACGAAATGGGGAGAGGACATGGAAGAGGCGCGGGGAACAACATTGTCATTGTGTGGGTGACGGGTAATTAGTCGATCCGCCGCTGACTCAAAGCAGTCGGCCATCCCCATGCAACCCTGGAAGCTTGCTCGGTAAGCACCAAGAACGACAACAGTGGAGCAGCTGCTGGGAGCAGCTGCAAGGGCGGACACCTTGACGGCCCAGACACATCCATTCCCGTTGTTTTTTCTCGCGTTTTTCCTCCCTCAGTACTGCGTGCTGATCATACTTACAAGGAACAAAGCATTGACGACGTAGCCTGCAACAGAGCGAAACTGACACGAACGTCCGGCTCTGGTTCATGTCGACAACCAAATTTATGACCGAGTTGTACCTCGACTGAAACCTTCACCGCCCGGACCCCCAAACCCACTCGATCAACAGTCGTCGCTGAGATCCCCTAATTGTCGGCTGTGCGTAATCCGTGAGGGGAATTCGTGATTCATCTCTGAATAATTCACTCATCGTGTACCGTCCCGAGACGTGCTCGACTCGACGAGAGCGAAGACAGCGAAAAAAGTATGAAGCTGTCCTGCAATGATAAATATCGAAATGGTTGACGATTCGAGGGAGGATCTCGTCCGCAGGATGCCGCGTTCCTATCGGCGCTCCAAGTTCTTGTTGAAGGAAGTCAGGAAGACCGATGGTGGCCGCTGGAGATCCCGAAGAGAGCTCTTAGGGAAGGCCTGCAAACGGGACTTCGATGAGACAATTCTGTCGCGGAAAAAAATCCTGCTCTTGTGCTCCGGAACCTCCTGGAATCGTCCTCACGTGATGCTTCGGAAGGAAACCTCAGCTCTTGGGAGCTGTCTCTTTCAGAAACCGGGAAGTTTCTTGATCGGCTAGGTACCAAGAGCGTTGGAACCCCTCGTCGGTGAGACCTGACCCTCGAAGACGCCCATATCTATGCATGGAAAACCAAGTCGACATCAAGACGATTGCGTAGGATATCGGAGCAGTGCACGGGCGCAATCGAGGCCGGGCAGTTCACCATGAGAGTTTACCATCGATATCTGGCGTCGCTCCCTCACCATGTGCC